GGTGAAACTCAACAGGAAGCCAAGCACTGTGACCAGGAGAAGGACCAGCTGCAGCGACGCAGGGCAGGGTCCAGCAGCTACAGGCAGGAGAGGTGGGTCGCAAGCCGAGGTCAGGTTAATCGCTTCATGTTATTGCAGGCAAAGCCATTTGTGAAGGCGCAAACAAGAGCATAACCATGTTATTTGGTGCTGACAAGGCTGTGGGCACAGCACAAAAAACATGTCAAAGCTCAGCATCTGCAAGGAGCAAGGCACAGGCTGGACAGCACGTATGCCACAAGGCGCAGTGCGCAGGAGCAACTGAAGGAACCAGGGCTGGTCAGCCCAGAGGAGAGCAGAAACAGCTTGTGCTTTTCTAGCCAGAAACATCAGGTCCCAAACTGGCACTTGGGGAATCTCCTGATGGGAGTGACCAAACCCCAGGAAGGACAACGTGCCCCCATCCCTGCCCTGGCAAACCTCCAGGGATGCTGCTGCTTGGAGGCAGGGTGAGCTCAGTGGCATCATGAGGAACCTTCTGGCCTTTCTACAAGGCACCCCAGCCACCAACCCTCCTGGTGGGCACCCGTGCCTCCTCATCCACCCTCCCAAGACAGCCCCAAGATCGCCTCCAGCAGTCGTGCAGCACCTCTCTGTCTCCAACCTTTTGTAGGCTGCAGATGAGTTGTCCCCTATTCATGAGCCACCTGCCTTTAGCAGCCCACTAACAGCAGCCCACTAACAGCAGCCCACTAACCTCCCAGCCCAGCAGCTCTTGCCACCCGTTTGGGACGGAGGGCTGAGCAGAGCTGGCACCACGGCATCCAGGGAGATCGTGGTTTGTCCAGTGGTGGCCTTTAGGTGGCTCTGACCACACAGGCAAGCTGCCAGAGAAGAGGAGCTCACGGTGAGAAGGCACACGCTTGCCTTAAAACGCTGCGAGACGGAGCAGCTTGTGGGTACCACCCTGCCACAAAGCTGCTCCCAAAACCGAGCCTTTTTGCTGGTGTTTACAGCCCTGACAAGCTTATCTGAGTAGAGCCGGGCTGGAAGGAGGCTGGAGGGAGACAGAGGCACCACGCACTGACAGCCGTAGCCACAGCAACGGGCTGGTCTCTCCGTAGGGATGTCAGGGTGCCTGCGGAGCCGCCTGCACAACCCAGGGAAGCACAGGAGATGGAAGTGAAAGCCCCACCGCCCCCCTGCACCTCTTCCTCCTCCATCCTCTCACTGACTTGTTGGGGGAACAACAGGTTTTCAGCTTATCTGACCCTCCCAATCCCCCCGCATCCCAACGACAGTACCCAGCTCCCAGATCAATAATGCATGCTCCCTGAAACAGATGCCTCTCTCAATACATTGAGTCACCTTGCACTCCCGACGGGAAACCCGAGCCTCTGGCCATCAATCTTTCATTCCCTGGACATAATCTTCAAGTTGATGCGACTCCAAGTGGCTGCTTCCCTTTCACTGTGCAGGGCACAGTGTGCCTGGGATGCAACAGGGAAACAGCCAAAAATCCAGCCACAAACCTGGGCAAAACTTGTCCAAGCTCCAGGGATGCTTGGCCAGACAGTAGTCAGGATGTTGATGGGTAAAACACAGTTACATCTGCACCTACAACTCTTTCCCTGTGCAAGCAGCTCTGCCCAGCTCATTCCAGGGCATCCAAGAAAGGGCACAACTACATCAGGCACAAAATAGCTGTTGCTGCTGCTAAAATTCCTCCTTTTCAATCTATCCCAGTGTAAGTCCGTCACGCAGCGCCTGCTCAACACGCCTGCTGCACAGAGCTTTTCTGCTGACGGCTCTGCCTGCCTGGTTTAAGCACTAAGAGGATTTTATTCCTCACCATGGAAAAAAGAAAAAAAATATGTCCTTGCAGGAAACCTTTTCTCTGGGAAAAAGCTGCAGATGTCGGAATAAAACAGAAAGAGGAGGGAAGGAAAATGGCAAGAGAGGACACTGCAAAGCTTTTCTCCCAGTTTTCCGTGGGGCTGAGCGGTATCCTGCAGGATTTCATGCAGAAGACTCCCGGTGCATATAGAAAATCCTGCCCAGAGACTTTCAGCCACCTGCCTGACACCAGCCTCATGCCTCTCAGTACTGGGGTTTCCACACACGTACCAGGGACCTGCCTCGTCTCCGCTTCGCCACCTCGGACTGGAACTACTCAGCCCTTCCATCACTCCAGGTTGCGCAGCATCCACCCTGTGGGCAGCATCAGTTGGATCCAGCTGGCAGCATGGCATCTTGGAGCAAAGCAGAGTGCCAGCACACACGGTCCTGCCTTGCCTGCAGGTTGCTGTTCCTTTCCTCTGCCAAGTAAAGGCACCACTGGCAGCACTGATTTGAGTGTCGGGAAGGACAGGGACACAGGGACAGACCCTGGCAGCGACCTCACTGCATTTACAGCCTCTTCGTGCACACTTTCTGAGGGAAGCCCTGGCCTAGTATCACCTTCCTAAGGTTTTAAACTCAAACAGTGAAAGCTGTCCCCATCTAATGCAAAAATTCTCACTGAATCCTCCCAGCCGCAGTCAAGAAGCAGATTTCCAGCCCCAAAAAGCCCACAGCAACCCTCGATAGCTTCCAGCTACCTCCCCAGCCCAGCAGTCTCCATGGCAGCCCTGTTTCCTCACCAGAACCTGAAAGGAAGCTGCCAGATACCTAAAAAGATAATAATTAACCTCTTGCCTCTCTGTGAAAGGCTCAGCCCTGATTAAACACCCCGAATCTGCAGCTGTTCACTGCCATTGCTCCCCCTCTCCGGGGACAACCCGCTTCTCCCCAGCAGCCGGCATGACTCGGTAGCATCGCAGCAGGGGGCTGCTCCGGGGGCTCCCCATAACCCCATCACCCTGCTCTCACTGATCTAGCACAGGGCCAACCTAAATCTCTCAGCAGCTTGGCCACAACCTCCCCTAAGCCAGCCGGCAGCAGGTCCGATCGTAATTCACCAGGAGCAAATGCCTTCCTGCAAATGTGGAGAAATGGGAATGCAAAACCACAAAGTGATGTGCACACAAAAATAACAAGGCCTCAGAAACCAGAAAGATGCAGAAAATCCCTCCTCCTCCTCGGCAAACAACAGATGTCAGCAGAGGGGATGAAAGCAGCAGCGGGATTTCTGTTCCTCACCCGGTATCGAATCTGCTCTCTGTCGAGCAGAGGAGTTTAATTTGATCACCGTGCCAGGGTGGGGAGGACTGAAATACTTCAACCCCCCCCACCAGCATGGTTGCCTTAAAACCCAGAGCACCCCCAGGAGGGGCAGATTTGCATTCAGAGAGGAAACAGCCGCTTCCTGGAAGAGGGACCACGCAGCAGGACATGGAGGAGAGAACCCCAGAGCTCAGACAGCCAGAGATGCCCAAGACGCTGCGAGGACCAACACCCAGCACAAGGTCTTCTTCATGACCACGGGAGGGTTTCGTGCCACCCCTGGGGATCTGCTGCCGGGCAGAGCTGTTGGGTCTATCCCCACCCTGCACTGGGCGCAGCTCCCCAGGGGAAGTCAAAGCCTCTTCCCCTTTCCAGCAGAGCTGCTGATAGGGCACGTAATGTCCTCGGGCAACGACAACTCACTGCGACTCCCAGAGCGGGGTTTGCCTCGGTCGGTGGGCAACCAAGGTCGATGAAGGTCCTGCTCTCAAGAGAGCAGCTCCTTGGCTTCGCTAAGCCAGAGCATCCCCAGCAGCCGTGGGGGTGCCAGAGAGGGCGGCATCAACCAGGCGCAGAGGGGAGCAACAGGCAGCAGTCCCCTGGGGTTCGGGTGGCGAGACAGGCCTTGCCTGCACCAAACCCCACCAGAGAGCTCTGCAGAGCTGGCGCACGGAGGTCAGGGGGGTGCATCCTGCTGGGCTCTTTTAACTGTAGCTTTTTTTACAGCGGGGAGCACATTCAGCTTCAGGGCCTCAGCTTAAACCAGCAGCAGCAAACCTGAGCCCAAAAGCTGTCAGCTACCGGCGCTCCCAGGCAAAGCAGGAGAAACATCTAAGTGCCATCACTAACCACTTGTCAACTACGGCTCCTCCACAAGCACCTGGAAAGGAAGGATGCTTTCAACCATGCACTCAAGGAACAAGGATGCTCTTGCCACGTAGGAAGAGCAGCCACAAACCCCACACCCTTGTGTGAAGGTGCTGGCTGTGAGGAAGGGAGCCACAAGGCCGATGTCCCAGCTCCCCTCCTGGGGCACACAGCAGTGCGAGACTGGCACGCAGCAGGGCTTCAGGGCCAGCTGCTCTCACATCCCTGCTCGCATATCGATTCGGTTACATAAATTATGCAGCACCTCTACTCCTGATTAATATCGTTAATTGAGTTGGCAGCGCGGCGCAGGAGGGAAATACCGTGCGGGCACAGCCACACACCGAACGCACCCATAAATGCAAAAGCTGCTGTCTGGGGGTGCTGGCCGGCCCTGTAGGGAGCGAGCAGAGAGAGCGGGGAGCTTCCCCCCGACACCACGGCAGCAGCCGGGCAGGAATTTCCCGAGGCTCTCTCTGCACCCCCGCCGGGAGCAGGCTCAGGGCCGGGGCCGGGGCCGAGCATCACCCCGTGGCGGGCAGATGCGGCCGGGGGCTGCGGCGGAGCAGCTCTGCGGGGGTTAAGGCGCTGCCGCAGCAGCAAGGCGCCCGTACCAGCGGTGTCACAGCGGTGTCCTGAGCATCAGCCCAGACAAAGGGTGAGGAGAGCCCCTCAAAGGCAGCAGCTCCGGGAGCCAGACCCCTCCTTCACCTTCCACCAGCACCCAAACGCTCTCAGCCTGGCTCTACGCCTCCCCCACCCCCTCCGGCTACTTGCAGGGAAACCTGCCGGCTCCTTCGGGAAGGTTCATCTTACCGCCCCCACCACCGGTACCGCGACACCGCCGCGCCGCGCCGGGGGATGCTCAAGGTGCCTCCCGATGGGGGTGCGGAGGAGCAGCCCGGCTCACGGAGAGCGGTCCGAGCCCTGCCGAGCCCACCCCGAGGGAAGGGGCGCGGGGACCCAGGAGCTCGGCGGGCGCCGCCTACCGTGGATGCCGGTCTGGTGAGTCATGGCTTGGCTCGGCTCGGCTCGACTCGGCTCGGCCCCGCTCCGTTCCGCTCCGGCTCCGCCGCGTCCCGGGCAGGAAACGGCTCCGCGGGCACCACGGCCGCTTCCGGAGCCTGGAGCCGCCGCCCGCACCGCGCTGCGCTGCCCTGCACCGCCTGCACCGCCCCGGGGAGGAGCCGGGTCCGCGCGGCGGCGCCCCCTGGCGGCGTTCAGCGGCAACACTGGAGGCCGGGCCGGCCCCGCCATGGCAGCCGAGTGGCTGCGGCGGCTGCGGCGGGGCGGCCCCGCGGAGCAGCCCGGAGGGACACCGGGCACCGGGCCGGACCCTCCGCCCGCCGCCCTCAGCTACCGCCGGCCCAAGTTCCTGCGTGGTGGCGCCGAGGAGAGCCCGCGGGACAGGCGGGTCGTGCGGGGCACCGGGCCCGAGCGGCCCCTGCCCTGGGGGACGGGCTACGCGGAGTGAGTGCGGGCCGGCAGCGAGGCCGCCCCGGGGAGGGGGCGCGTGGAGATCTCCGGGCCGTGGGGCGAGGGGTTATGGGGCCTCTGAGGGTCCTCATAGAGCTTCGGGAGGATGCCCAGGGTCTGCGTGGGGTGAGGGGGCCCGTGCGGGTGTACGGATGAGTCTTGGGGAGTCCTGGGAGGTGCCGTGGGGGGGTGGTCGCACCCCACATCTGCCCCACGCCGCTCCCCTCGCTGCAGCCCCAGCCCGAGCACGGGGACTTGTCCTTCCCCTGCCCGCAGGAGTGGGGCCGCTTCCTCCTGCGGGCACAGCGGCCGTGCGGCTGCGGCTGCGGGTGCGATGCTCCGCGCGTTTTCCCTGCCCTTCCTCCTTCCGTGCCGGGGGCTGGCAGCAGCTGGGGCGGACCTGCCCACCCCCTGCCTGCGGGGAGCTGCCTGCGCCCTGCCCGCCGCAGGGCCGCCACCACTGCCGGTGACTGGCGGCGGGGGCAGCCCCGAGAGCAGAAGCAGCTCAGTTCAGGTACCTCACCCCCTAACGCAGTGGTGTTGGCACCTTAACTTTAACGCTGTTCTGTCACCCGTCCCCCGCCCTGCCTGGCTGCAGGGAGCTGGCTCTTCCATGAGGCTGCTGTGTTGGGCAGGCAGGCAGGAAGCTCTCCCTTGCATGGGGCATGTCTGGGGCAGGAGGTGTGTTTTGCGGTTAGCAGTACCACGTGTGTATCCCCCTGCTCCTCGAAAAGTGCCTTTAAAACAAAGGAAGGAGGAGGATCAGATTTTAGGGGATGGATCAGACAGAACTCCATTCAGGAGCTGTCCACGTATCCTGGCCAGACCACGTCACTAGGGGATGGCGTAGCTTGGAGAGAGGAGCTGTGCAAGGAGAGCAAAGTCCCAACCAGGGACAAATATCAATAAGGCTGGAAGAAAAATCAGTGGTGGTGGTTTTGCAATTCACTGTGTCATCAAGGAAATAGCACGGCGTGGGTTGCTGGCAAGGGCTTCCTGAGGCCAGGGTGCTCCATAACCACTCACTTGTCCCTGTGTCTGTGGCCAAACCTTCCCCCCACATAAAGGACTTTTCATATAGATCCCCAGCAAAGAGATCCTTGACTTTGGAACAGGAGCATGGGGCTGGGAGGGGCAGGGCGCAGTTGTTTGCTGTGGCTGCAGAGCTCCTGGCACTGGTCTGGGAGCAGGCGAGGTGTCCACACACCTTACCTGGAGCGCTTGCACCCCCAGGGTTATCAATGCTGAGAAGTCAGAGTTCAATGAGGACCAGGCAGCCTGCTGCCAGATCAGCATCCGGAGGAGAGAGCCGGGCCTGGAGGAGGACGAGGAATGGCTGATCCTGTGCTCCACGCAGGTACAGCCCTCAGGCAGGCTGTGCTCACCCTGCTGCCAGGGACTGAGCTACAGAAATCACAGGGTTTCCCCATCAGTCCTACATGCTCACACCCTGAAATCCTCCTTTGGACACATTTAGGGGACAGATGTACCCGATGTCTGGCCAGCAAACACGCAGCTCTGCCTGTGCATGCCATTTCTATTTGCATGGCCCATGCATTTGAGGTTGTCCAAGCCCTTTACTTGCTGCCCTCGCCTTTTGTGTACTGTCTTGTCTCTGTCTCTGCTTTCAAGGGCCAGTGTGCATTGTCAACACTTAGGGACAGCAGCATGAACCAGACACAGGGTGCACTTATGTAGGACTGACTCTGCCTTCCCACTTGTAACATGCCCCTACACCACAGAGGAATAGAGCACGAGGGTGGGTGGCTGTGAGTCCAGCCACTAGAGCTCAGATGATGAACCTGGCAGAGCAGCACGTGGCATCACGAGTTTGAGCTGTGCAGGAGATAACTGCTGGCAGGGAGGGGTAGCTGGGGTGGGAAAGCTGGGCAAAACACGTGTAGCGATTTCCTGCTGCGAGCCTGCCATCTGTACCATCTCCAGGTCTTTCCCGTTTACTGTCTTTTCCCTCTTCCTCACTGCAGTTTCTGACTGGTTACTACTGGGCACTGTTTGATGGCCACGGTGGCCCAGAAGCTGCCATCATTGCCTCCAACTATTTGCACTACTGCATCAAACAGAAGCTGGAGGAGGTTGTGGGAGGCATCACAGAGGCCCGGCCCCCCATGCATCTCAGTGGGCGCTGCGTTTGTGACAGTGACCCCCAGTTTGTGGAGGAGAAGCACATCCACGCTCAAGACCTGGTGGTGGGAGCCCTGGAGAATGCCTTCCAGGAGTGTGTGAGTACCCCCTGCCCCAGGCAGTCAGTCTGTCCCTCCCTCCCCACTGCCTGGGGTGGGTACAGTCTGCAGTTCTGCAGGTCATGGAGCAGGCAGGAGCATTGAGCCAGATCTTTAAGCATCCTGAGATCACACTGGGTCAGCTGCCCAAGGTCTGCCTCAGACCTACTGCACATCAGCAATGCTGACCCATCTGTCTGTCTGCTAACACAAAGCTACAGCATCCCTGCTAATCTGCACCATGGGGATACATTTCTTTAGGGCTAGACCATGGCTAATGTCACACTGGTACAGCACATACAAGTGTGATATTTCCCCATCACGCTCCTAAAGTGGCCCTTAGTCCACTACTGAGAGCTTTGTTAGCTGTACCAAAGCAACATTGTCCTTGCTTGCATGGTTTCCCACAGCCCATCTGCAGGCAGTTTTGCTTCTGGATTTCTGCTGGGAGGCATGAGGCAGCTGCAGAAATCAGCAGCTCCACTGATTCACTTTCCAAACTTGTTTAAACCAACAGGATGAAGTCATAGGCCAGGAGATGGAAGCTACAAACCAGACTGGAGGCTGCACTGCTCTGGCTGCCCTTTATTTCCAAGGAAAGCTGTATGTGGCCAACGCTGGGGACAGCAGGTGAGCCATAATAAGAGAGGGAAGTTGCTGGGGGATGAGAAATGGGAGACAAGCAGAGTTTCCAGCATCTTGTTCTGGTTTCAATGGGATAGTTAATTTGCTTCCTAGTAGCTGGCACAATGCTGTGTCTTGGATTTAGCGTGAGAGCAATGTTGATAACACACAATGTTTTAATTGTTGCTGAGCAGTGCTTACACTAAGTCAAGGACTTCCCAGTTTCTCACCCTACCCTGCCCCCCCAGTGAGCAGGCTGGGGGAGCACATGGGCAGGATAGCTGACCCAGAGCATCAGAGCGAGCAGCACTGGTGTGTACCTAACAACTGGGTTAAACTGTGACGCTTATTTAATCCTAGGGAAGGTAAATGTGCAACCCAGCCATTCTCTCCTGCCTGCCACAGGACCTGTTGGAAGGATGGGTGCTCTTGATGCCTCCTGGAAGGGTTTTCAGATTCAGATCCTCAAGAGCTTCCTCACTGGGCCATAGCCCACGATTCTTATAGCAGTGAGCTGTCATTGTCAAACCAGGCAAGCTCAGGTCTCTGCTGCAGCAGTGCAATTGCAGTGGAATTAAAATACACCAACATTTATGAACGTTTCTGGGTGCAGAGTTATTCTCTGGCATTGCTCTGCTGCTGGTTACCCTCAGCCCCACATCTGGCTAACACTGGGGTTAGCCACAGTAAAAGGAAGGCTGCAAGGACAGACACAGTTCAGCTCTTTGCCTCTTCCCTCTTGCAGGGCGGTTCTTGTTCTGAAGGACAACATTGTGCCCATGAGCTGCGAGTTCACACCTGAGACAGAGAGGCAGCGAATCCAGCACTTGGTGAGTGACTCCTTCCACGCATGAGTCCAGCTGTGAGCTTCCCACTGGGGGCTTGTAGCAAGGAGGACCACCAGCTTTCCTCAAAGGCCAGTGTGTGGCCAGAATGTCACTGGGGACGAGATCCAACCGACAGCATCCAGGACGGGAGATGCTCATGTCCTCTTTGGAATGCGCTTTCCCAATTCTCTTCTGCTGCCGGGAGTGCCAGTCCCAAAGCACTGCTGTGCGGAAGCAGAACCTCTTCATCCTCAGATCTTCTTTCCCTCCTCCAGGCTTTTCTTTTCCCCAAGCTTCTGGGTGGCGAGTTCACGCGCTTCGAGTTTCCACGGAGGTTGAAGGGAGACGACGTGGGGCATAAAGTCCTGTACCGGGATTACTTCATGGAGGGCTGGTGAGTCCTTTCTGCCTGAGGCTGCAGCACAGGGCAGCTTCACGTGCTCATAGTGATGGGGAGGTGAAGGAAAAAGGGCCATGCCCCACTGGTGAGAGCAGCGGGCTTGGTTGCGCGAAGCTGTGCCAGATAAAGCAAAGGCTGCTGTGAGCAGCCTCCCCCATGACTGAAGGGCTGAGGCCCTGGCAGAGCAGTTCGGGGACAGCCAAGATAATCCTTCACAAGGTGGGGCTGGTGCAGGGAGTCCTAGCCTGGTGCAGGTACTAGCTGGGGAGGAAGGGGAGAGGCAAAACCAGCTGGGTATTCAGCAAAGGGTCCTCTTCACTTAATCTGCTTCAGCAAGTCACTCAGGTGCCTGTGCATGGGGGCAGCACAAGGGTTGAATCATGGCTCCGGCTGGGTTGTACCATCAGGTCAGAGAAATCCCAAATGAATAGTGACTTCTCTGTTCTAGGGGATACAAGACAGTGGAGAAAGCTGACCTCAAGTATCCTCTTGTCCATGGTCATGGGAAACAGGTAGCTTAATGCTTTACATACTGGGAAGGCAGAGGCGAGTCTGCTGGGGTCCTCAGTGCCCTGTCACTCACTGTCACACTCTGGGGCTCTCCAGCATGGTGCACTCCCACAGCCCCAATACAGCAGCTCTCCTTGCTAGAACCATGCTGCCTGTAAGTGTAAACCAGAGCCCCCTGACAGCAGAGGGGTTGCACGCTCCCCCAGAGTACTTGCTAGCAGAGCAGACAGCCTTGAGCGAGGCTGGCCTTTCCTCATCTCCCCTTGCACACAAGAACCATTTCAGATGAGAACTTATTTCAGCATACAACTTTGGACCGTCTCCTCCAGCTCTAACTAGCACCTTTCCCACAAACCCATTTCCTTCAGGAGAGGCTGAGAAAATGAGCCTGTAGAGGGAAGAAGACAGGGAGAAGCAACGACTGCACACATCCAGTGTCTGGGGTAGAGCAGAAAGCCCTGTCACCTACCCCAGCACAACCCACATGCTACCTTTTCAAGGAGAAAAGGACCCCCCTCAGTTTTCTTCCTCACCACCCCAAATCAAGAGCAAGACGCCAGCATAAGCTTCCTGAGGTCTGTAGCATTACTCAAGAGTACATGTAACTCCAGAGCACACCATGGGCCATCAGGAGCCACCCACATGCAGGCTGTCTCCACACTCACGTGGTGATGGTCATCGCTTCTCATCACTCCTCCATCCCTGATGTCTCACGGGGCTGTTCTGGGTGATGCTTGGAGAAAGGTCCTAAAGGCAACACACAGATCAGCCAGGACCAGCCACATGTCAGCCTTTAAAGGTGCCATGTTCTTACGTTTCAATACTGTTTTGCTCTGTTTGGGCCAGGCTCGCTTGCTGGGGACTCTGGCTGTCTCTCGAGGTCTGGGGGATCACCAGCTTGAAGTCATCGACACCAACATTGAAGTCAAACCTTTCCTCTCCTGCATCCCGAAGGTCAGTCACAGGAAATGGGAACTGCAGCATGGAATTAAACATGTTGCTCATCCTCTGTAACACCCACCTTTTACAGATCTGGCAGGTTTTAGCCGTGTCCTTTTTCCATCCCCCATCTATCTCTCAGCACGCTGCCAGAAAATCCTTCAGACAGAAGAATCTAGAAGCACAGCAGCAAGGGGATGTAAAAGATTCAAAGCACCCTGTTCCCACTTTGTCATCTCTGGGGAAAGTCATCTCCTACCACTCTGGTACATTGCAGGGACTGTCACTGATGTACTCCTGTGCTTTCCAGGTGAAAGTATTTGACTTTGCTCTGCATGACATTAAGGAAGATGATGTCCTCATCATGGCAACTGACGGTCTTTGGGATGTTTTGTGCAACAAAGAGGTAGCCCATATGGTCAGAAGCTTCCTTGAAGAAAACAGGACAGATCCTCAAAGGTAACGGCAGCTTTGCCATTGTTTTCCCTTCCAAAGACCCTGGTCAAACCAAAACCATGCTGAGAACACTCTGGTTCTAGGTCAGCTCCAGCACCAACAAGCAGTCTTTTCTGTGACTCTGGAAACTGCATCCTAATCTTTCCCCATCCTAAAGAAACAAAGACAAAGCTGGTGTCTTAAAACAACCCTTCTATTTTGACAACAAAGCCACATCTCGATGTTCTGAAGGGAATAGTGATGTGTTAACCAAAACATTGCATTTTTTCCACCTACAGATTTTCAAAATTGGCCAGGTGTTTGGTATGCAGAGCAAGGGGAAAGAAGAGAGGCCACCAGTGGATGCTGGATGACAACCACGAGGCATCCTATGATGACATCTCTGTGTTTGTCATCCCACTGCACAACCGGGATGAGAACTGATTGTTTGCATAGGGCTCGGGTTCTCTGTGTCCCCTGCTGTGGTGCTGTACAGCATCAACCAGGACTGAGGGATTTCTGCTGTGCATGTTCACTCTCTTCCAGTAAAACCATCTGCCATGGAACCTGAAAATGCACAGCCAGAGCTTAGCAGAAGATCAACAAGAACATTAGCTCCTTACGAACGTTTAAGAGGAACGCTCTGCAACAAAGCATTCCCCTCACTCCTTTCTCATTGTTAGGCCAAGGAGAAATTGCAAGGGGGGCCACACAAGCTGAATGGTACTACTTCCACAATCTTTGCAGCACAGTGAGACTCGAATCTCTGGTGACCCTTCTCCCTTTTTAATATTGAAGATCAGTTGAAATCCAGTCTCCAGAGCTGTCTTTTAATCAGACTTGAACTACAGTGTGTAAAACTGGATGCACCAGCATCATACCCATCTGCTGTAACTCAAGATGTACTGAAAACCCAGGAGCTGCTATGTAATGCCAATGCTGAGGCAGAGCCCAGACCTCTTGCGAAACCTGCCACGTGTGGGCAGCACCACCTTGAAACACGGGATGTTAGCAGATGAAGCCAGACATTGGCATCCAGGAGCCTCCTGTGTAAAGATACGTGCCTTACTGTTATTTGAGAGCAGTTAAGTATATTGGTACATAATGCAATGTACAGATTTCTAACAACTCGCTTGCCTTCACTTCCTCTGTTCGTTCAGGTCACTTCTGACAAAGCTGGTTTTGTAGCAGAAGCTTCAATGAGAACCAAAGTGTTCCAAGTTCATCAGCTGATGTAGTAGAAGAGTTTGGAGTAAAATAAAACCGTTTTGTTTAAATCTGTTTGCAGTGCTGCACCTTGCACTCATTACAGCAGGAACAGCAGAGCAGGAGACATGCCAGAGTTGTGCCTTGAACTCCAAGGATCTCCTCCTCAACCCATTCATTAGCCAGGCAAATTCAGGTCTGGACAAGCTTTCCATCTCCCTGAGCCCTCACTTTGGGTTTCATCATTCATTCCACAAGTTGCAAGATTCCCTGGGGAAGCAGACAAACCTCAGCTCCTGCTTCAGTTGCACAAGGATGAAAAGTTCAAATAAAAATACTTCCCTCCCTCCCCCCCATGCATCTCTGATAGAAGTAAAACCTATCAGAGGTTTTACACATTCCTGAGAGGGAGAAAAACAGCCTTAGACAACTGCAGGGAGTTTCTGCTTTTTCTGGATTTGTCTTTGCCAAAACCCAGTTGGTCAACAGAAGTGTTCCCTCAGCAGGACTGCCCCAAGGACTGGGTGTCAGGAGATGATTTCCTGCAGTGGGAAGCCTGGACCCAGGAATGAAGAGGCCTTTCAGCTGCCTCCTTGTGGTTCAAGTGAGGAAGGGAACAAAAAACATTTCTCTCCAGTTTTGCTTTTCCCCCTAGAAGTTTAACCTGGAAACAATGCACAGGGTTTTACCCATGTTATCTTGGTGCTGGCTGCCAATCCCCTTAACAGCTGCTGTAATTATATACACACACACACACACACACTGACTTTAGTGATCCAGGTCTCCTGTTACTTCAAAACAAGCAGCTATTTCCCCACCTTCCTGCTGAGAAAGGGCTCTGCTCTTCCCTCCAGACCACAAGCTTCTGTGAACACCCCTCTACCTAGGGGTACTCAGCAAGTAGCTGTCTTCCCTATCCTGATGCATTCCTAGGCAAGAGAAACCTCCTTAAGGGGACAATTTATGTTGGAATAGCTCACAAGTTCCACTACAGAATTTCAGACATTCCAAAATGAAGGAACCTTTAAAAAACAAATACGATTTTCCCCCTCTAAGAAACCAGCAAGTTGTATCACACAGAACAAATGCAGAATTTACAGCACTCGAGGGGTATCTCTACAAAATATTTATTAACAGCCACAACACTGAATTCTCCACATATGTAGTATTTTGTAACAAAGCAGAATTTGACTTTATGTATTTACACCCATCTGGCAGATACCACCTAGGAGTCAAACTCCCCATAACCAGCTCACGACCAAAGAGACCAATTTCCAAAAGGCTCACCAGGATCCGTGCCCCTAACCTGAAACCAAGGTGAAGTCTCTTAAAGTGCAAAGGTAGTCAAGAGGCATTGGAAAAGATACACTCCTGCTGCCAATTTTGTTCACTCAGTTGTTGCTGTGTTCTCCCAGCGCAGGGGCTGGGACATGAACTGAGGACATGGGAGCCTCAATTAAAGAGAAATCTCTTGAAGATTAACTTTTGAGAAGAGAATTACAGCCAAGATCTCCTGCAGCCCATGTAGATGCAGCTCAGCCACCACCACTACTTATTTAGAGGTGGCCTCTTCAGTCACAATTCCACCTTGTTCTGAAGAAAGGTCTTTAGAGAAGCACATGGAAGCTAAAAGCTTTATTCGCCTTTCCCATCTAATCTTCTAGCAACATGTAATACTCCAGTTCCCTAACTGGATTGTTCCCTAACAATACTTGGCACATTTAAAAGGCAGGTGGAAAACACTGAGGTGCTACATCAACCGAGCAAGATGCCTCTGCGGACAGCAATCAGCCCTGGGAAGGCTTTAATTTTGAACTAGGCATTAGTGCCATGTTGTACACAAACTTGTACGTTTATCTTCACTCCCAAAAGCACTGATGTTCTTAATGTACATGTCCTCCTAGATCAGTCCTTTGTTCCTCCCTTCTGTAAGATTTCATGCTGCAACGCACAATGTTTTACACCATGGCAAGTGGAAGAGAGCTGAAACACAGTCTTTAGACAAGTGCTCAAACCACATCAGCAAAGAGCATTTTCAGAGTAAGACTTCAAATGCTTCCCTGTCTGCTCACTTCCTCAAGCAACAGACTTGGTAAAACCCTGAAAGATGATCTGCTACTGAAAGTTTAACTCTTAAAATGCAATACAAACCCCAAACACCTGTAATGATACAAACCACTGCAAAATACGGCTGCTTTCATAAACACCAACAAAAAGGTAAAATAGCACCAAGCAGCCTGAAATGCAACAATACTGAGCTGAAGAGGCAGCTGCGGAAAGCAGTCAACTGGAGGACAGAGATAACCATCTCCCTTCCTGCTGGGCATTTATAGGTGACAGTGGGACAGCATGAATCTCATCTGCATCTCCAACAGCAGGCCTATTTGGCACAATGGAAAACAGCAGTCCACTGTTCCCTTTCCTCCTTCAGTCTGGAGGACAGCAAACTCACACAGCAGAACTGTGCCATCAGGAATGGCTCTCCTGTGGCAGCATCAGCAGCTGCAAGCCACAGAGCCTACGGAGGAGCTTCAACCACAGGAGTGATCCAAGCATGAGGTTTATGGGAGTGTCCAGTGCCAGTCCTCCTGCTCACTGCCACAGGCAAACGCTGGAGCTCAGCACCTGCTGCTGCTTTAAAGGAACCAGCAGTGGAGAAATGCTCACTCCCCATCCCCAGCTCTTAGCACAGCACATTCCCACTGACAGGGACTGTGGAGAAAAAGTAAAACAGAAGCAGCTCCTCCTCCTGATTGACTTTTCCAGGGAGACATGCTCCAATTATATACAGGGCCCATCAGCTGAGATGAACTTTGCTGCAACAGGAAACATCCAGACAACTGACCCAAGGTAAAATGCTTGAGCGTGGCTCTCCCATACGGACTGGCACTTGAGAGCAGGGAGAACATGCCCATTCCTGTGCCTGTCACCTTACCAGCATATTACATTTAGGAATGTGGAAAGCACACATGACTGGGCGAGGGAAAGAATCAACTCTCCAAGCTGTGGCACAGCACATAAACCCAAGTCTGCTTGGAAAGGCAAGAACACAATGAATACCACATTTATACCGAGCCTGTCCCAGCCTGCTGACGGATGCATTTATCACTGCAGCACTGCAGGAAAAAGAAACTGGAACCAGGTATGAAGACCAGCTTGCCAACCTTTCCATGCCACTCACACACAAGCCCCTCTGGAGCAGGGGAGCACATCTCTTCCAGCTCTGTACAGGGGTATTCCTCAGAGCAGGGCCGCAGCAAAGCAGCGTCAGCACAGTCACACGTAAAATTTGTAAAACTCAGTTCTACCCAGGACGCATTGCTCTTTCAGAGCTATCACCCAAAACCTGCAGGACCTGTGACAAAATGCATGAACTAACCGTCTGTCAGCTTTATAAACGGGATGCAGGTCTATGCCAGGTGTGGGAAAAATTTAATGGGGCTTATTTACAAACCAGGAGGGGAAAACTGCACTGGTGGAGGTCAACAGCCTGGGCACCCCACAATACTGGCCCACATCATTTTCTTTAATATCTAAAAGTAAAAAAATATGGCCCATTCCCACTGCCCTCCCCTCCCCCAGGTATTTACAAATGAGATCAGGCAAGATGATACATAAGGACGATGCACAGGCAGTCTGTGCTTTCAGTCTCGGTTTGGTTTCTCCACCTTCCTGCTGACAGGCTCCTTTATTGCTTGGGATACCAGCCGGACCTCATCAGTACTGTCTGTGCCCTCTGGGATGCTGGCACAGCAAACAGCAAGGAGGCTTTGGCAAGCTCTGGCAGTGGACAAAACCTGTATGGTTTGTTGTACACTAAATCGCCAAATGAAAGGATGACAGGTTGCATCATGTATATTTACAGTCACCCGCTCTTCCGGTGCATGTTCCACTGCAAGAGAATCCAGTATCTGCCGTGTAAGTTGAAAACTGTCAGTGTTCGTATTTGGCACAGAAGTGACTTCCCATCTGTGGGCTGCAGTGAAACCAGAGATCCCAGATGTTAAAAACTTGCACTTACGGGAAGGAACTCCACGTTCCACCTTGGAACATCAACAGCCTTGTGCACTTACAGAAAGAAAACACGCAATTACAGCTTAAAAAAATGCCACAAACATTTTGTAAATCAAACAGACTTCATTGCTCTTAGAAATAATACTGTGTCAGTTCCAACTTCAGCTGAAGCCTGCTGGGAACGGACTAGAAGGTTGTGTAGCATGCTGCTTTTGAACATGCTAGGAAGCTGAGTGGAGGAGTCCTTGCAAAGGAATGCGGCAAATAAAGGTAAGACATATGGAAACATACTCAGGAACAGGAATGCAGTCTAGGAGACTCGGGCAATTCCAATACTATGCTTGCAATAATGTGCTGCTGTTAGCAGTATGGGAGTCATCTGCCAGCAGCTTCAGTGTAGGAATTAGTCGTCGATAGTTGGCAACCAGAAGGCCTAGAGAAAAGGGAAGAAAGAACATCTTACAGAAAACAACTCTTTCCTGCAACACACTGCAGGAGCTGATCTCTGCTACCTTCTATAAGCATACAAGGAGAGACTACCAAAGAGGCAGCACTACTCTCCCAGCAGCTGAAGGGTACAGTCCTTGCTTTGGTTTGCTCTGCATGCTCTCCAGAGCAAGACAGTATTACACAAACTGAAAACACCAGCCATATGCAGTAACCTAAAGAACTCATACTTCTGCATGTGCATTCACTCGCTGCTCTGCTTTCATGTGTATGTTCAAACACTGGCTTGCCAGGTCTGCTGCCCCATGTATCTATTTGCCAGGTGAGGTGCAATCAAGGCAGAGAAGAGGAGCCTGGCTCTCACCAAAGCCCAAGGAAATCGAGTTAGAAGGAACTTAAAACACTTTCCTTACCATATTGGAACATGCACTAGCAAAAGTCATGAATTTTGGATTGAAC